GTTAACTCAGCTGCTCTACGCTAACTTTCAGTCATTTTAGCTCTTTTTACTGCAGCGAGTCACTTTGAGGAGGGCTGATGACCCAAAACACGTCATTAACGATTCCCATCATGTAAAGTAAACGAAGGTGTCTGAACCCACACACCTCTTAATCGTGAACCCCAGTGTCTCAATGTATTTTTCAAGCTTAACAGTAAAGTAGTGTTCTTTAATTCTCTCTCAGTTCTTTCACCAAAACGGTGATTATCGTCATCGGGCTACTGGTCCATCATCAATGATATCCGATTACATCGCCTTTCTGCCACGCCCAGCGCTCACAGGTGCACAAAATCAAGGCATGCAGCCCTGCAGTCTCCACAAACAGGTCACACAGGATCACAGAACGAGTCTGTGCTCATTTATAACACCACCACACTGCCTGTGGAAGCAGCGTCAGCACGAGAACTGTGCACCAGGATCTTCATGGTTTGGGTTTCCAAAGCTGGAGAGGTGTAAAGTGGCGACACTGGACTCTGGAGTGACACTGAAACCGACTACATGCTCAACAAAATGAAGGATTTAAATATTCTTCATCTTCTAGATGAGGTTTCTTCATATTTTCAGGTTAAGTGACTCAATGTTCTGATTTACTGCAGGTATCAGATTATTAAGTGTAAACACACTGAACCTGTTACTGACACAATCAGATTTTCTGCAGTTATCAGATTATTAAGTGTAAACACACTGAACCTGTTACTGACACAATCAGATTTTCTGCAGTTATCAGATTATTAAGTGTAAACACACTGAACCTGTTACTGACACAATCAGATTTTCTGCAGTTATCAGATTATTAAGCGTAAACACACTGAACCAGTTACAGACACAGTCTGATTTTCTGCAGTTATCAGATTATTAAGTGTAAACACACTGAACCAGTTACTGACACAATCTGATTTTCTGCAGTTATCAGATTATTAAGAGTAAACACACTGAACCTGTTACTGACACAATCTGATTTTCTGCAGTTATCAGATTATTAAGTGTAAACACGCTGAACCTGTTACTGACTCAATCTGATTTTCCTCAGTTATCAGATTATTAAGCGTAAACACACTGAACCTGTTACTGACACAGTCTGATTTTCTGCAGTTATCAGATTATTAAGTGTAAACACACTGAACCAGTTACTGACACAATCTGATTTTCCTCAGTTATCAGATTAAGCACAGTCAGATAACCACAGAAAATCTGATCATGATCGAATTATTAAGTACATGTGAACACAATGTTTACATACTACACTCTTAAAAAAAGGTGTCTCTTCAAGGGTTCTTTAGTAAGTTCTATATAGAACCATGAACACTCAAAGAACACTTTGCATGATTAAAGGGTTCTTTGCATCATGAAATGGTTCTTCAGACTGATGGACAATAAAAGCCTTTACCGAGGCCCCATGTGAAGCAGTGCAGTATGGGTAAAGGCCATGTCTACAGAATCCGCCCAACACGGATCACATGGTGAGCGGAGGAACTATGTGGCAGAAACAGTGTTAACAGTTAACCACAGCAGGTGCAGCAGGTTCTGCTAGAACAGGTGCAGGAGGGGGTCACTGTTTAATCATTCACAGTAACTATGCACATATTCCTGCATATACATTAACCGGACATTAGCCACGCTCATAAACACTTTCCTCGTATTTTATCTTTCTTCCTTTCTGACAATTAAACAGGCTGATTTTGTTACTGTGCCTGACTGGATAAACTGCTGTAGCTGAATGGGCGGGACTAGACTGCTGTAGGCTGAATGGGTGGAGCTAAACTGCTGTAGCTGAATGGGTGGAGCTAAACTGCTGTAGCTGAATGGGTGGGGCTAAACTGCTGTAGCTGAATGGGTGGGGCTAAACTGTCTATGTGTACTGGGGTGTGAAGAGTACATTTTAAAACTACATCAAACTCTTATTTTAGAAAGCGAGGAAAATAAAGGTCCTTTAAATAGAATAAATAAATAAATAAATAGTCGCTGTCAGAACAAAACTTTGTGTCTCCATTTTAGTCTTTATTTATTTATTTACTTATTTAACAGAATTTCAAAACACCCTTTATAATGTGTTAAAAAGTTTACGATGACTGGAGGAATAAAAACAGTCCAAAAAATCTTCCTCCATGAACTTCCACTCAAAGTTAGTTACGTTTTTTGCTTCTTCTATAAGGTTAACATTGTGTACACATGAGGTTTCGTCTCAGCAGCAACAAAACAAAACCTCTTGTTAACAACTTTGTTTGTTTGAGTTAACTTCCTCTGCTTAGCCCTCCTCACTCCTCGCACTCCTGCAGCTCAGCCAAAGCTCCATCAGTTTGGACGGCTTCCCGTATAATTACTGAATAATCAGCTCCAGGGTGAAGTTTCAGGGGTTAAAGCTCTCAGTTCTGGCAGTTATTTTCCTGAGCCGTGTGGTTAAGATGCGGCCGCAGCCGAGGCCCCGAGTCTTCACACGCAAACTGGCTGTCAGAAGCCCTTCCTCAGCAGAGCGCAGCGCCGCTGCGTTCACCGCTAAACATGCGCTGCTGGGAAGCTGTTAATTATTAATCAGACCCTTCCACCAGCGCGGAGCGAAGCCGAGCCGCGGGCAGAGCGGGAATAACTGCTCTCCGTATTCTGGATCAGAAAAACATGAGCTGCAGCGTAATCTCTAATACACGACTCTGAGGAAGGACGCGGTTCAGAGCTGCTGATCCTGCCAGCTGCTATTTTTAAGTAGAGCAGCGTTTATTACAGCGCACTCGTTCATTTAGGGGCAAAAGAGGAACGTTAAAAACACGCCGGCGTGTTCAGACAGACGGCAGGGCTGGGCGATACGGAAAAAATATCATATCACGATACTTTTTCACGATACACAATACGCATGAAGAGATTTAGTTTTTCTGAGATTCACTAAGTTTTAACAGACAAAATAGAACCTGCAGTGACACATAATGAAAATAAAATAATAATAATACAAATAATAATAATAATAATAATAATAATAGACCTGCAGCTACGTTTTCTTCAATGTTTATTAAACTGCGCTGCACTAAATCCGATTAAAAGGCCTCATTTTCCTCACGTTAATGAAATATGTAGTTATCCAGCGATTCTTTAAGTACTGACGTATCAGAAATGCATATTGTGACAATTTATCACGATATTGATAAAGGATCATCATATTGCCCACTCCTACACTTAAAATGATGGTTCTTTAAGGGTTCTTTAGTAAGCCTTTAGAACCCTTTGTGTGATTAAATGGTTCCTTGCATGGTGAAAGAGTTCTTTAGATTGATGGAGGATGTGCTGTAATTGGTTCTAGCTAAAACTTTTTTGAAAAGTGTTCTTCTATTGTAACAACCTTGACATTTAACAACAGCAGAACCCTTTTCAGTGCTATATAGAACTATCTACAGCACATTCTCTATCAATCTGAAGAACCATTTCACCATGTAAAGAACACTGTAATCACACAAAGGGTTCTTTAAGTGTTCATGGTTCTATGCAGAACCATTTTCTTTACTAAAGAACCCTTGAAGAACCATCATTATTAAATGTGTGCTCTTATAAAACACTTTTTTTGGTAAAGAAAATGGTTCCATATAGACAATTAAAGGGTTCTTTTTGTGGCAAAATCGTTCTTCAGACTATATAGCACCAAAAAGGGTTCTTCTAATGTAATAAGCTTAACATCGAAACATTAGAAGATCATCTGCTGTTTTAATTATGGACCTACACTGCATAATACTAAACATAAGAAGAACACTAATAATAACTACTAATAATACTAATAATACCAATAATACAAATACTAATACTAATATAGCAGGAAAAATAAACTCTGTACCGTTTCTATTGGCTTATGGTTTTAGAATATCACAATATATACAGTCATATGAGAAAGTTTGTGCACCCCTGGACAAATCTGAAGCGTGAATAAGTAAACACATCCTCTACAGTAACACACTTCTGGACATTTTAATACAGAGTTAAAGTTTATTTACTGAATTTAACGTATCGGGGAAAAATGTGACCTGTGCAAAAGTATATTCTGTATTTCATTTTTTCCCTAATACATTAAATTCAGTAAATAAACAGTAATTGTGTATTAAAATGTGCAGAATGTGTCTTCTGTAGAGGACGTGTTAACTTATTCACACCCATACCCATTCACATACACTGAATTTATCCAGGGGTGCAAAAACTTTTGTGGTGGTAGTATCACATTCTCCTTTGATCTGGACCAAGAGAGCCCAACACACCCTAAATCCTGCAGGTGGTAGATAATGTCTACCTTCACCACAGTGGAGAAGATGGAGCACAATGGGATAAAACAGCCTTAAAGGGGAATTCCACCAAAATTGTACACATTTGTCCATAAATATGTGGTTAAACAGAGTCAGAACTGTTCACAGTGGTGGTGATAGGAACCAGACGTCCACCTCTAAAAGCTCCCTCACAGGAAGTTCCTACATGAAATGGTTATGAATTCACTGCCTGATGACTGAGACACTGTTTTATGATAGTTTAGAGAACTTAAACTCCATTCATGGTGGAGGGATACATGCAGGGCGCTGTGAGGCAAAATAGTCCCCAAAGAAAACTTATTATTTCAGATTTTCCACTATTTTCATCATCAACATTCCATATAAACTCAGAAGACTCGTGTAGGTTCACTGGTGGTTCTGGATAGTAAATAAAATGTCTATATTTGTGTTGTAGTCATGGCGACCCCTGGTTCCTATCACCACCACTGTAAAGACATCTGAACCATTTCACACCAAACCACTCTGAATCTCTCTGATTACATCGGAAACATTGGATTATACAGGAATTTTGGAAAATCGGTGGAGTTCCCCTTCAGCCGATGCTGATCCATTAAACCTGGATGTGCTCTGCACTGGGAAAACTCTGGTGTGACGCACTAAAAAGCTGCCGCAGAAGCACAAAGAAAAAGTTATCAGGACAGAAACGGGATGAGGCAAGAGTGTAGGTACCGTGTGTGTTCTCAGCCGGTTCCTGACCCTGTTCTTTAGCTCCTGCTCCCTCTGAGCTGCCCGGAGAGTCCGTCCTTTTCTCCTGTGGCTCCTCTTCTACGACCCTTTTATCCTCCGTCTCCCGCACTCGCTCCCTCAGCTCCTCGTTCTCCCGCTCCGTCTTCGTCAGCTCCAGCAGCAGGTCATCAAAACTGTCCTCCACGATTTTGGTCAGTTCACATACGGCAAACTCCAGAACCTGCTCCATCACCACCTTCAGCTGATCTGCAGAGGAACACAGACAGACCGGTGAGTCCTAAGGACAAACGTAAACTGGAAACGGAAGAAACAGACTCATCTTAAACATCTCAAACATCTTAAAGGCCTCATATCCTTATAACACTGTGTTGCTTTACGTACCAAAAACAGTCATAATTCATCTCTACATAATCATTTATAATAAACCTCTCTTTGGCCGCTTTTCCAGCGTAGAGCCGAATGGTTCTCTGGGCCGTTCTGGGCCGTTCTGCACCGGTCCGGACTCTTTTACTATCTACAGGCCAACAGCTACACACAAACCACCCACCACAACACACGACTGATTCCGCCTGTCACTCCGACTCCGGACTCTCTCTCTCTCTCTCTATCTATCTCTCTCTTTCTCTCTCTTTAACTCTCTCTCTTTCTCTCTCTATCACTCTCTATCACTCTCTCTCTTTGTCTCTCTTTATCTCTTTCTTTCTCTCTCTCTCTCTCTCATCTATCTCTCTCTCTCTCTCTCTTTATCTCTCTATTTCTCTCTATCTCTCTCTCTCTCTCTCTTTCTCTCTCTCCCTCTCTCTTTATCTCTCTCTCACTTTCTCTTTATCACTCACTCTCTCTCTCTCTCTCTCTCTCTCTCTCTCTCTCAGACCCTTTATCCTCTAATCGGGAGTTATTGGACATCAGTTACTGAAACTGAGTCTGTACTGCGGCGGGTTCAGCTGTAGCCGTTTAGCTACGCTAGCATTGGTGTCTCCCAGCAGAGCTCAGCTCAAAGCTCCACAGAACAGGTTTATCTTATCTTTCTGTTACATTGTTATCTTTCTGAGTCTTTATCCTCTAAGCAGGTGTGTTTAATCATCGGTTAGCTAGAACCGAGCCCGTACTGCGGTGTGAGGCACCGTACACTCGCGTTAGCTTAGCCTAGCAGGCTACAGCTTAAAGCTCTACAGAGCAGGTCTGATTTCTGCTTCCTGTCACTCCAACACTGATCAGTCCACTTTGCTCTCACTACACTTCTGATATCGGAGCAGTCAGTCTAATCAAACCTGCACTGCGGAGTTTGGATCTCTTTAGCTAAGCTAAGCTAGCTAGGAGAGAACAGCCGGCTAGCATTAGCTTAGCTAGGAGGCTCCAGCTCCAAGCACCAGAGAACTGGTTTAATTTCAGCTTCATTTTCCTCCGACATCAGACGCTCGACTTCGCTTCCTCAGACTCGAGTCATGATCATCTAAACCGTGTCAGTGAAGCTTCTGTTAGTCAGAGTCGATCCGGTTCTGTGGTGAGCAGAGCTGGCAGCATGCTAGCTAAGCTAATGCTGACCAGCTACTCTCTCCTGGTTATCAGCACCGTTTAACATTTAGAAACTGCTGTTAGATTGAAGCTTCGGCGTTTACTGAGTGGTGGATTTAGAATCGTGCACGGCTTTCATTTCTCTGCGTCTGTCTGAGCGAACTGAGCTGATTAGACTGATCTCAGGTTTGAAATAGCGCAGCAGGATACGGCAGGACAATACCGACATGAACACAGAACCAATCAGCGAATAGCTATGTCGTTGTATGTTAGCACCGAACGGTTCTGGCTGAGCCAAGTGTGTAAGCGCTCCATGTGGAACCGTGTCTGTATGGAAACGCCACTGGAACCGTTACCCTCTGCGCTCAGAACCGTTCGGCCTTGCAGTGGAAAAGAGGCCATTATCTCTACGGTTAATCAGGCTGTTTCTGAGCCTCTACTGTTTTCTGTTATTGTGCCATTAGGACTGTTGTAAATGAGCTCTGCTCTGATTGGCTGTCCTCAATTGAGTCTCATTACAAAAGCAGTAAAAAGCACTGATATGAAGTGACGGACTCCACTGTAGAGCCCAGGCGCACAATCACTACAGTCTCTACAGTCAGACAGAGTTGTGTGTAAAATCAACCAAAGCTTACGACTGAAAATCCATTCATCCGTTCATTCATCACCATCATTAACCGCTTAGTCCAGATAGGGTCGCAGTAGCAGTTGGGAGAGCAGAGAATTCCAGACGACTCAGCAACGTCCTCCAGTTCATTCCGGGGGACCCCCAGTTGCTCCCAGGCCAACTTGGAGATATAATCCCTCCAGAGGGTCCTAGGACGACCACGGGGTCTCATCCCAGTAGGCCATGCCTGGTAAACCCCCACCAGGAGGAGTCCAGGGGGCATCCGGATCAGATGCCCGAACCACCTCAACTGGCTATTCTCAATGCGGAGGAGTAGTGGCTCCTACTCCGAGCTCCTCCTGGATGACCGAGGTCCTAATCCTATCAAGTGGAGTACAGCCCACCATGCACCCTGCCCGGGAGAGGGTTACCAGGACCTACCCTTGGAGCCAGTAGTGTTCCTCAGCGCCTGGTTCAGCCCGAAAAGGCAATGTGGGGGGACCATGTGGGCCCACCACCTGCAAGATCCAGCATGGGGGGCCAGTGCAGTGGGAGATGACAAAAAACTGTTGTTCTGTAAGCACAGGCGCAAGATTTAGCACTAGCAGATCGTTCTTATGTCACAATCGCAACTTAAGAGAGCGCAATTTTCAAACCGCAAGAGCTGCAGCTTTTTTTTAATACAGCCTACATTATCAATAACGTGTTTAAGTGGGGAAGTTGAACCCAGTAACACAGAGCTTGTGAACTGCCTGTAGATGAGTTAGGTCGGGATAGTGTAGTGGGTAACACCTCTACCTTCTACACTGTAGACTGAGGTTCAATCCCTGCCGGTGTAAACACTACACTATACCCATAAAGAGTCCTTGGGCAAGACTCCTAACTCTACCCTCACCTACCCGTGTAAAACTGATCAAGTTTAAGTTGCTCTGGATAGGAGTGTCTGCCAAAATGCCATAAATGTAGACCAATCAGAGGCAGCCAAACCTTCATATGTTGTGACATCACAACCAGAGCTTACTGGCTGTCTGGCTCACTGCACTCAGGGATCAAACCTCAAGCCACCAAATTTGGATATTCTGGTCTGCTTGGCCCAAAAACAGAACTGAACCTTCATTTATAGAAAATAATTAAAATAAACTAAATCGCAGTCGTAATATTAGATATTTCCCCCAAATCGTTCCTCCCTAGCAATAGTTATCTACTGCATGTCCCCAAATAAGGTTAAGAACCTGTGTTGCTTCTCTAAGACAACTTGCCTGTAAATGTGTTTCTTTTATTTCGTCTCAACCAAACTGATGAAAACGCATCCATTTCATATTTTGAGTGTGACACAATATGGAAAGTGACTGTGGAAAATAACTGCGATCAGGTGATTATGTAATAACTGAAGAGCCTAATAAACACAGACGTCTGTAAAATCCCAAAAGAAAGGGAGCAGACGATTTTCCATAGTTTGGATTCTGAACTGCATGAATCTACAACAAAAACGTCTTGGCTTCACTGTCCTGATACTCTGAAGGGCACATATAAATGCATTTAATGGCAATGAAACAAATCATCCTCCAAAGGCCAGTAAGTTCCAGCTATTCCTTTAAAAAATGGGTTCCTTGAAATCCACAAGTAGTGAAAATGGTAGTAAATGTTTATGTTGTGCACTGAGGTTAACGACGGGAGAATAAACATGAGGAAAACGGCTGTGAAGAGTCGATTCTATACTGAACTGTAAACATATCACATCACTCACCGCTGCTGTTCAGACTCACAGCAACACACAGACTCTCTAACAGCAACACAGGAGCCTAATGTTACAGACCCCCCCACCACCCCAACCCGAAACTGACCCCAGATGAGGCCAATCAGCCATGACACGTTTGCTTCTTTAGTTTTATGAGAAAGTGGCAGAGACAGAATTTCATTTTAGGGGGGGCTGGTAACAGGTGTGGGGGGGTGGAGGGGATGGCAGGTAAGAGGCACTGTGTCCCACAGACATCACTACAGCGAGGAAGACCACCAATAACTAACCGACTAGCCTGCTTTACTGCAGACAAGTCATTAGAAAAGTTCCCTGATTACCGTAACCCAGGGTAGGGGTGGGCAACACGATGATATTTTATCGTTATTGTGATAAATCACATCACACTGGCTCTAATTCATCAAGGCTGTCTACAAAAATACCAGATTTCACCGCCTTTAATACAAACTGGTCTGTATCTGATCCGTCAAACTTTCATGTGACGTGGAAACAAGCAGAGATCTGAGCACTGAATCAGCTTCGGTGCGTGAAATCAAGTGCCAGCACCTCATTTACATATCATTTACATGAAACGCCCTAATTCATGCAGATGTTTCTGTAGGGAACCAATAAAATGGCAGCAACTGTTATGTTGAATAACTGGTTTTAACTACGCACATTAAAAGGTTCTTTAAGGATCCTTTAGTAAAGAAAATGGTTCTATATAGAGACACGAACACTCAAAGAACAATTTGCATGCTTAAATCGTTCTTCAGATTGATGGAGAATGTGTTTGGTTCTATATAGTACCAAAAAGGGTTCTGCTATTGTTACAAGCTTGACATTGTCACAATAGCAGAACCCTTTTTGGTGCTATATAGAACCATTTTATTTACTAAAGAACCCTTTTAAGAGTGTATTATATCTTGGTTTTGTTTATTTTACTGTTCCCCTTCTTAATTAAATCTTAATTGTTCTCAAGTTTTTTCCACTCATCTCTTTTGAGTTTACTGTTCACATATTTCTGTTTATTGTAATTTAAACTGACTAAATTCCATTTTAATTTCTTTTCAGGCCCTTTGGGCTGTCAACGCTCAGCTGCGGTGAAAATGAGGGTCACTCTCAATGCATCTCCAACTGAAAATAAAGTCTGATTGATTGTATTTTGAACAGCTGTATCAGAATAATCTGAAGCACTGAGTGACAAACACAGTGCAGATAATTAGATTTTTGTTATCCATCAACGTCATTTAGCCCAGAATCAATACTATAGACAATATATCACCCAGCTAAAGTAATCACAGTATTCCAGATATAAAATCAGATCACTGGAGTCAATCTGCAACCACAGCACCTCCAAACCTCATCCGTCTTCTCTCCAGCACCGTC